GGCGGTATTTCTTGTGCGAGAAACTAGCGATTTGAATTTAGCTCAGAGGCGTCATTTAGGCTTGATCTTTTACATGCAAGTAAATCTACTAACATGGGCCAGACGGCTTTACTTCCCCTCAGAACGAAGGATTTTTTCGTCCTAAAAATGGCTTCCATCAGGTTTGAACCCGCCAACTTTGGTACAACAGTCCGGTACGCTAACCGTTTCACCATCGCTGCCGCCATCTGCCACCGCCAAAGTACATTTTTCTGAAAGTTTCTCAATTTTTCGGTTTCTTAATGGTAGGAGAGAAATTTTACTTAAAAAATATTAGAGAAGGGCAAAACCTCGTGCTAACTGGAAATTTGCGTTGAAAAATTTGGAGATGTTTTAAGAAAATGGCGTTAAGACGTTACTGTAGACGCGAAATTTGAACCTTTTTTCTTCACAGAAAACTTTTGAGTTTTGAAAACCTTCATTGTAAGTCATTTAAAGCACTTACACTCACAAATGCAAAAATGTTTACAAATCGCCGGAAATGAATATATTAACGGCGGGAAAGATATTTAAAAAAATTACATTTGTGTAATTTTTGAAAAATAAAAACTAAAGAATAGAAAATAATGGCATTTATGACATCTGATTCCCTTCTGTATGTCATTTAGCGTTATCTCTACCAAAAGTTAAAAGGAAAAAATTGTAGTTATTTTTGATATATGTCTCTTTGATATTTTTTTTAAATATTGCGCATATTTCTCGATATGTTGCGCGAAAGCTACTAATGGTTTTTTAACAATGAGCATCACTTCAATAAAAAAACTCCAAAGCAAAGAACTATAGTTTTGAAAATGTTCCTGGGACTTCATGTAATGTACCTCCAAAATTAAAGAAAGTGATTAAAAATTACAGAGCGAGTGAGGCCAGATCGACACGGAAGTTTTAAGCTAGGATAAAATCCTACGTATAGTTCAGACGCTAGTGTTGTTCACAGATGACTGACGGAAATAAAGGCAGTCACACGGACGGACTGACAAAAAGACGGTATCAAGATTCCCCAATACACGTTTTTTCATTGATTTTCTCGAAATCGATTTTACAATGCATTAAATAATTTTCTCCATTTCATAAGACTCTTTTTGAGTATTGTTGAATTTCGGAGTCAGAATCGCAGAACCCTCCAATAAAAACTAGTGGTGCCACAACAGCAGATATTTTCTCGAATTATTCCTAAATTTGCAATTTTCGAAAATTCCTAGAGTTTAACGAGAATTAGACCAATATTCTTTTAATCGTCGCTTCTTATATTATATTTTCGGCAAACGCTCCATATTTCCGAAAAATGCAGAAATTCATCTTGTCAAAACCACAAAATTAAAGTTTGCTATTTTTGCCGTAAACAGAGTCTGTTGTCAAAAATTAGGCCTTTAAATAAGGTCAAGTACCCATTATTGAAAAAAACTAGTAGATTTAACGTAATTTGTGATTGAAATGTAGACAATTTATATAAAAAAACATTTTAAAAAGTGCTCCAATTTTTCATTGTTTTTCCTCCTGTATGTAGTGAACTTACAACTTACTTAAATGCTCTATTCCTAGCCTGTTATAGTTTTCTCAAAAATCTATGTTCGGCCAGCTTTAGAATACAGCCAGCTGACACAAAAAAATCAATGTTAGAACAAAACTACTTATACACGAATTGTATGCCAAATACAGGCTCACCAATGTTATTAATAATTATTAATATATATTATTGTAAAAAATAGTACTAAATTGAAACACCATTCAACTCTATGCAATCTATTTAAATCGTTATAATGTTCAAAGTAATGAGCAGAACACAGTTTCTTTCGGCATTTGAGACCAATTTACACACATATGCTCAACAGTTATTTGATTAATAGTAAGTCCCCTCGTTTGCATGTGATTGTGTTGCAATGTTCATAATAGAAAAGTTCACTTGAGCAGTAACGGTTCATGCTTTGGCTGCATGGTTCAACAACACCTAGGTAATCAAAAAATATCTTGTAAAACGATAGAAATATACATTTTTCTTTTCATATTGCCGCAATATAGATGTTTTATATTATTAATAATTTATTTACATATTGTTCATACATGAGAACAATAATATAAATTTAGTGACTAGATAATTAGTAGTGAATGAAGAAAATACTCGTTAGTATCTCCCCATCAATATAGTTTGAATACACGTGTAACTGCACTTCAAAGTCTGTGAGGCAAATCTAGAGGTTTGAATTTTTTAAGACGTCTTAATTCTAAACTGTTATCTAACTAAACTTATCAATTGTATTAGTGTCAATTGCATCACTAATGAAAAACAACTAGAGTGTCCCCTGGAAATCAAAGCCAGAATTACATGCGCGGGAGGTGAATATACTCGACACGACCTGATATATAATTATACTCCTACGTAATGTATGGAATATAATGACACTATTATTTATCCAAAAAAGTACTTACGAAAAAATCCTTTCCGAGATAGGTTTTGTAGGTAGGCAGGCTAAAGTTCGCAGTTTTTAGAATTCAATTATTATGTTAATTATAAATAATGAAATTTAATGAAAACATTTTGAAAAAAAACGAATGTAAGGAAAATTAGATAGAGAAACGAAAGGCAAAATAAGGGAATGTTGATGGGAAAGGAGGTCAACGTAGAGTGTCAGGCAGTAAAAGTAAGAACGACGGGAAAAAGTAATCGAAAGGAAGAGTGGAAGAAAAAGAAAACTGAAGATAAGCGAAGGAGAAAGAAGGTATGAAAAATGGAGAAAAATGTCTGAAGGTATAAGCAAGGAAAGCCGGTAGAAGAAGAGAAACAAAGATAAACATTATTAACTTAATAAATCCCAAATGGACATAGAATAGCTCAAAAGAATCTCCACCACTTCAGAAGTTTTCGTTGAATCTTCGTGATCAGTACAAGAGATGTTTTGCAAACTAAGAAATTCCTGAAAATTCCAGGTTGGATCATGGAAGAGTTTTAAAAAATCGCCAATGTTAAAGTTTGAAATTAATTTTGAAGAGCAGATAAGATTTAGTGTTGAAGTGCGAGTGTATGTCGCAGCAATAGTCTAGGAAAATAATAGACTGGTAATCACTGTCTTAATGCGAATAAGTACATTTTTATCTTGATACTATTCAATCTGGAGGTCAGGTTGCATTTGTGTGTTAGTAGCATGAAAAATACATTTTCTACTCATTGTAGTTTCATTTTGGTTTGAAAAAAAAAATTAAATTAAAAAAAGGAGAAACTTAATATATTTTTCGAAAAAACAAATGTTTTGAAGGATTTTAACGGCAAAACTTTGAAAACGTTCAGAGGCCGCCGGTCACTCGCAGCTGACGCAAGGACCGCTGCAGCGGTCAGCCGCACGGGCAATGACCGTCCTCAGCGACCCGGCGCGGCGGGGTCGCGTGGACGTCTCGCTTATCGCTCTCCCACACGGCTGGCGCCGATGACCCCCTCCCCGGCAACCCCCAGCGCCGTCGCTGCGATTCCGCCAGTCCCTCGCCGACATGCACACCTCGAGCGTCGCCTTGTGGGCGGTGGCGGCGGCGGCGGCGCTGTGCCTGGCGCCGGCCAGCGCGTCCATCCCGTGCGTGTGCCAAGAGCCGGCGCGCACGGAGTGCTCCGACCACGAGAAGACCTCCGTGCAGCCGGGCGACATCTGCCCGGGCTCCACCGCGTGGATCTTCTGCGACAACCGGCTGACGGCGCTGCCGCGCAGCGCGGACGAGCGCCTCGAGGAGCTGGACGTGGCGCGCAACCGCATCGCCGACGCCTCCGACGAGCTGCGCGCGCTGCGCGGCCTGCGCCGCCTCGACGTGGCGCACAACCGCCTGCAGCACCTGCGCTTCCTGCCCGAAGAGTGCGCGCTCACGCACCTCGACGCGTCGGGCAACCGCGTCGCCGCGCTGGACGGCCCGCTGGCCGGCTGCGCGCGCCTCGAGGAGCTGCTCCTGAGCGGCAATCGCCTGCGCACGCTCTCCGCCGACACGTTCGCCGCGATGGGCAGCTTGGCGCATTTGTCGCTGGCGCACAACCCGCTGCGCGCTTTGCAGCCCGGCGTTTTCCGCGCGCTGGTGAGTCTGCGCACGTTGAACCTGCGCGCCGCAGATCTGGAAGCTTTGCCCGACGGAGCGTTCGCCGGTCTGGGCGCGCTGCGCATGTTGGACCTGGAAGACAACCACTTCCGGACGGTGACCCGCGCCGCCTTCCAAGGCCTGACGGCGCTGTCCGATCTGCACCTGTGCAACAACCACATCGCCGAGCTGCCCGCGGACGCGTTCCGCGAGGTGCAGAACCTGAGCTCGCTGTACGTGGACAACAACGAGCTGTCGCGCGTGCCGGCCGGGCTGTTGGCCGGGCTGCCGCTGGCGGAGCTGTGGGTGCGCAGCAACCGGTTGGAGCAGCTGCCGGCGCTGAGCGACTGCTGCGCCCCGCTGCGCTTGGCGGCGTTCGACGGCAACCGCGTGGCCGCGCCCGACGAGGCGGCGCTGCGCGGGCTATTGGCAGCGCTGCTGCGCGAGGGCGAGGGCGCGGAGACGGCCAGCCTGAACGGGAACCCCGTGCGAGTGGACGCCCTCGCCTGGGCCGCCCGCGCGCCGGACGTGGCGCTGAGGGCCGTCGCCGACGACTGCCACTGCGGGACGCTGGCCACGGGCCGCGCCGCCATCACGCTCTGCGTGGAAGTGGAGTGCGGGCGCGGCGCGCCCTGGGCGAATTGGGTGGAGGCGGTGCGGGCGGCGGCGCAGAACGGCGTTTGAGCGCTCGCTTCCCTGCGCACTTCTCCCACATCCTCTGCCATGTGTCAAGATGTAACAATACTGTGAACAAATACTCCGGCGCTTATACTGAAAAATACCTACTATCAAGCGATGGTCGATCCTGCGGAAGGACGCGTGACCCTCATGCTTCCTTCACTAAAATATTTTTTGTAATTTTACTCAAGTCATTCAACACAATCAAATTGTAAAAACGTGTTTTAATGTTATTAAGTTTATGTTTTTTTATGACAACTAAAAGAAAAAAAATCAAAAATATTCATAGAGGATATCTGATTTGCTTCGTCCTCCCTGCACCTACAGTCCCCGGCCATACTAAGATGACCACTCTACATCTTCTTTATTTCGCCATTCTTTAATTTTCTGGCAATATTTGCTAATGTTGTCTTAGAAACGAACCTTTTGAGAAACTTGATGATTTGAAAGGTCTTTAAGCACTATTAATGCGTCATTTTCTCCCTCTTTCTTTGGCCTTCTCATAACAATACAAACAATAACTATAGGTAAAGATTAAGTTACACAAAAAGTAATTAAAAATACAAAAGTATGACAGAAAAGCGATAAAATTAGGAAAATATAAGATAAAACTAAATTATACATAAACGTACCAAAACAACTCGCACTTATTGAAAATAAAACAATTATTCCACAAAAAAATTATGCTGGCTTTCACTCATTAAACCAATGCGGTCTCCCGCAGGACCAATGTTGCTAGAGAAAAAATTGTTGACACAGTTTCATAAAAGACTTCTCGCCATTAAAAAACATCAATTGAGATATAAGTTTTACCTTAAAAAACGAAAGAAATGCAAAAAAATCTATTAATTTAACAGGTATCACAATAATATGGCCAGTGACTGTACATCGGCAATTATACTGCAAAATACCGAACACCAAGCATTGGCGGATCCAAGAGGAGGATGCTTGCCTCATGCTTTTTTCCGCATAACCAACATGTTAGTAATTTTACTCGTCATTCAACATAATCACAGTCCAAAGTTGTGTTCTCAATGTTAATACCAGTTTTGGTTTATTTTTCAAGCTGACAATAAAAGAAATATTCAACTATATTTAGAGGGGAAGTACGAACTGAAATTGCCTTGCCCTTTCTTCACTTCCTTTCTAGATACGTTCTGGGTCCATCATTGCGCTAGCTGAATAAAAGAAATTATGAAACGTAGTGTCTGAATACGTATTCGTAATGAAATACATAATTAACTTATCGATGAAGTTTTATTGAACCATTGAACTTCAATAATTTTTCTTAAATATTATCAAATTAAATCTACAGTCTCTTTTCTGTTATTTTATTAAAAACTTCAATTCTTGGTTTTGACCCTTTCCTTTATTACTGAATTGCTCAAAAGTTAATCCTTTCCCTATACTTAGATGATAAACTTAATTTCCCCATATATACAAAAGTGTTGCAAAAACTGCAAGAACAATTAAATAAAAACTCACTGTCTTTATATTTCTCAGCGCAGTTAATTTGAGCACCTCACAAATCCATTTGGTTCATGAAACTGACCTCCTGTCAATCAGTGGAATTGCTTAGTAGGAATATTCATGTACGAAGGTGCAATTACGCCGTAGTACAAGTGTAAAGGCGCGTTGCTTTGTAAGCCGTTCGATTGTGACTGACTAAAGTAAAGGAAGTCAAATTAGGTGCCAATGAGGTTAAATAACTAATGGTGCTGCAGAATAGCACAGACTTTCCCTTTTAGTTTTTATTTCCTTTTGTCTCGGCTAGCTATTCGGACTTATATCCATATCCACGCAAATCTGCAATAAATACTATTTTTAGGTTTTAGATGTGTATATATATAAAGAATAATATACATGATATATGGAAAGCTATATAATGCTGGGGAAAATCGATTTCGAGATTTCAACGGAAATACGATCTGTCCACGGTGTCTGTGTACACTACTACCGCCTAAACTGTACATAGGAGTTTTTCCAAAAATGAAGTAACCCTTATTCATCTGACTCGACTCGAAACTTTCAGATTTTGAAAAACATTCTTCACAATTTGGGAGTATTTTACTTAAGCCCTCCGGACAATTTCCGAATTTTCTCAAAAACGGGTCCAAATTTTTCTTTAAATTTCTTGAAAGAATAGAGTAAAATACAGTTATAAAGATGGCATACGTCCTATTTTCAGGTTTAACACTAAATTTTCGAAAATTTCAAAATTTTTCGGGCGTCTTCCTACAACAACAAAATTGAAGATTCAGATTTTTCCTTCAAATAAAATTTGTTCTCCATAGTGAGTTCTTTCATTAAGGTAATATACATTTTTGATAATTTTATTATTTTTCGCGCTAGATCGCGTGCAATATGTGCAATTTTTTTAAAAAAAATATAAAATTATAAAATTTCTTAAAAACGGGTCCAACTTTTTTTAAACTTTTAGTAGGGATAGTACTAAACGTACTCTATAAGATGACATAAATGCTTTATTGCTCTAGTCTTTTGTTTTTTCAAAAATTACAAGAATTTAATTTTTTACTTGTCTCTGATGGCGTTAATATTTATTTTGCGGCAATTTGTTCACATTATTGTATTCTTGAATACATAAGCTTTAAATAATGCCAGATAGTTTCTTGAAAACTCAACTGTTTTGTGTGAAAACAACATCAAAATTCCGCATTTTCAAAAACGCTCAAACGCCATTTTCTCAAAAACGCAAATAATTGACACGTCAACGTTTGTTGCTTTCTGCTAGTGAATCTATGAAATCAGATCAGAAGCCGGCTGATATACTGAAAGAGTGTACTCTTCAAAACAACTCTTCTGGAAGCGTTCGAATTTGTATATGAAACATCAAAATCTGTAATGAATGGTGGCATTAACCCGAAAGAACAATCCACAAGAGAAAATATAAATACACAGTTTTTGTAATTTTTGTGATTTAATTTTAATTCGTAATACTTTTTTCTTACCTTTTTACTCCCGAGGTAGAAAAACCAGACAACTGTATTTTTTTTATTTAGAACTTATAGTGCAGAATTTTTCAACATATGAAAATATTTTAAAAACAGTTTAAACCGTCCGAAAGATATAAATAAATAAATAAATAAATAAATAAATAAAAAGTTAAATAAGTAAATAAATCAATAAGTAAATAAATAAGTAAATAAATAAATAAGTAAATAAATAAAGATCACATTCAACTAGTATTGTGTGTTTTGTTTATTTTATGCTCTTCGATGCTCAAATATAGAGCCGCTTGTCATAAGAGTCAAAGGGGTTGCACGGTCGGTATGTGACGTTCTCAACGATTGATTTCAATACTTCATCCCGGTTTTGAAGGATTCCATGTCCTCACAAATCACATTTTGTTCCATTATACTTACTGCTAGTGTGGAAATATCTTTCAAAAATTCGTCACTCGCAGTCGGTAGGACTCGAACCTACGCTCCCAGAGGGAATCTGATTTCTAGTCAGACGCCTTAACCACTCGGCCACGACTGCTTATCTTTCGTTGGAGGTATGTTAAACCTAATTCTCGTAAGGCAAGTTAGAGGAGAAAGTGTGCCACGCGACTGTTCCACAACGACAGCGCGCAGGCTGATGACGTCACGTTGAGAAATTCGTTTCGCCAGCACAATGCGGAGGCTGTGCTGTAGGGGCTTGCGGCTGGCAAGACACAGCTACTCAAACGAAAACAGCTTGAAGCAGTGTCGTATTTGTAACTTCTTCACCCACAAAAATATTTAGTTCACAGACCATGGGCTGAGGTGAGATGACAAAAAATATATAATTTTGAGATGTGAATGCAGAGAAGTAAAAAGAAACATATGTAATAGCTCATTATTATATGAACTAGTGGAGCCACCAAAGCACATAGTTTCTCGCAATGTATCTAAACGCTCCACAATATTATATTGATTTGCATATTGTATTGAACAATTGATTTGATGTGACATACGTTTTAAAATAGAACAAGAGAGTTGTACCGTTATTTAAAATTTTAAAATACGAAAATGACATAGAGACACTTTAAGTTTATTTCGAATCTTAACAGAATGTATACGTGAGTAGAATTGCTTCAAATGATTTTCAATAAAGTTCCTGAAATACTCAATAGTTTTCAGCAACTTGTTTCTGAAGCAAAATTATCTTCAATTTTGTAGTTTTGAATTGTTTTTGCAATTTTCGAAAAACAAAGCAATACCCGAAAATAGGATTATCACCAAATTTCTTACCGTTCTCTATTACATATGGGGAGAAAATTAAAAGAAAAAAATTAGAGCGTTATTTGAGAAGTTTTCCCCCCAAAAATCAAGCGCAAGTAACCCAAAAACTACTCGTTTTTTCAAAAAATTGAATGTAACATTTTTAAAGAGGTAATTTTATACAACAGACTTTGCCTGATATAAAAACCTCCATCTTCAATTTGTAACTTTTAAAATGGTTTTCTGTATTTTTTTTTAAAAAAACGAGCAATACCCGAAAATATAACTAGCACAATATTTTTTACCGTCCCTTATTATATGTGTTGAGAAAATTTAAAGGAAGAATTTGGAGTGGTTTTTGAGAAACAAATCGAACATTTCTAGCGCAAATTACCCAAAGACCACTAACTTTTGCAAAAAAATGTACATGACCTTTTCTTGAAGACCTAATTTTGTGTTCAACAGACTTTAAGTCAAAAACATTTTTCTTCAAATTTGTAGTTTTAAAACTTTTATTGCAATTTTCGAAAAATCGGGTAAGTCAGCAAAAATGAGATATGAACCTTCTCTTAAAGTCCTTTGCTCTATTGAACAACAAAATTTAAGTAAACAATTTGCAGTCGTTTTTGAGAAAATTTTGAAAATGTGTTTAAGACTTCTTGTGAAGCACTCTCAAAAGATCAAAATATCCGTTTGAAATTCTTAAATCCATAAGATCTTTCATATCGATTGAGGATTATCAATTTTCAAAAAAATCGACTGAACGGTTTAGACGTTAGCGTTGATCACAGATAGACAGGCGGACGTTTTGCCACCAAAGGATTTTTCGGTATGAAGAATCAACAAAACATGGACCATGAGTTAGAGAATATTTTTCCTAAATTTAGCAAAAGGATCTACTTCTTCGTTACCAGAACCCGGCAATAAGTTTTTTCTAGTGAAATTTCGGCCTTTTCTGGTGTACGATTACATAACTTTCTCTTCTTACGAAGAATTCGTAAGACGAGGAAGTAATATATAAATAGTTTTAATTTGTATGTAGGTCTAAGATTG